CAGAGCTGCGCCTCCGTCGCCCTGCCCGCCGCTACCGTCGGCGGCTCCGCTGCTGACACCACCCCAGGCCGAGCCGCCGCCGCCGCCGCTGCCCCTGCCGCCGCCGCTGACAACCTACCTGACGGCGGCAACGCCGATGGCAGCAGCAGCAGCAACGCCGCGGATCGTGTGACGCCCAGAGACGGCATCAATCCAGTGGCTGCTCCGGCCGGCAACAGAGCTGCACGCAAGCCCGGGGCAACACCGTCCGCCGCCGCCGCCGTCGAATCTCTCCCTGAAGATACGGCCGCCGGCTGTGGATGCGACATGGCCCGTCGCATCGCCGCCGCCGCCGCAACCGCCGCCTCCGCCGCCAGCACGTCAGCCCGCGCCGCTGGCGGCAGCACCTTGGCGGGCGGCAGGTCTACCTGGCGGGCCATCGGTAGCTCTAACGTTGCTATCGCCGTACGGCTGCTGTCGTCGGTCTCCCGCCAGCTGTACGTGCCGCCACCGCTGATGAGCCCACCGCTGCCCGTACCACCGCCGCCGCTCGTACGACTGACAAGGCTGCCCAATCCAAATCCCAAGCCCAGGCCTAAAGCCGTTCTAGAGGCTCCGTGGGCGTGTTTGGAGGCGGCGGCGGCGGCGGCAGCGGAGGTTAAGGCGGTGCCCTGCGAAGGCTGCGCTGCTGCCGCACCAGAGTGAGTGTGGAAGGGTACGGCAGCGGCGGCGGCCGCGGCGGCTGCTGAGGAAGAGGCATTGGGGTCAGGTCCCGGCGCGGGGGCACTGGAGGTGTGGCGCAGTGTACCGCCGGTGTGTTGTTGGTTGCGGTGTTTCTGATGGCCCGGTGCTGGTGGTGGTGGTGGTGAGACCGTGTCTGAGTTTCGAGAGCAGCTAGGTACGGGTCCGTGATGTACGACGTAGGAGACCGTGGCGGCGGCGGCGGCGGTGATGGTGGTGGTGGTAAGGTCATGAAGGTTCGGATCAGCCGTACAACCTTCCATAGAATTTCCCTGAAGGGAAGGGAAAGGAAGGAGAGGCAGGGAGGGTTACCAATCCCTAAGGATACAGGTGGCTCTGATGACAGTGACGGTGTCCTCCTCTTCTACCTTAATCGCTCCTGTAAGACACGGAGCCGTGTTTTTTTCGGGGACCGGGGGCGGGGGGGAGGAATATGGCAGGACGGCTTCAGGCTTCAGGCCCCCGCCGCATTCCGTCACGGCAAACTCGTTTTGTGTAACAGAGCCACACAGTGGTGGGAAGCGGCGTAGGCATACGCGTATGCCTGGGCATGCGTGTTAATGCGCGCGCACGTGTGTGTGTAAGAGAGATAGAGAGATAGAGAGATAGAGAGATAGAGAGATAGAGAGATAGAGAGATAGAGAGATAGAGAGATAGAGAGATAGAGAGATAGAGAGATAGAGAGATAGAGAGATAGAGAGATAGAGAGATAGAGAGATAGAGAGATAGAGAGATAGAGAGATAGAGAGATAGAGAGATAGAGAGATAGAGAGATAGAGAGATAGAGAGATAGAGAGATAGAGAGATAGAGAGATAGAGAGATAGAGAGATAGAGAGATAGAGAGATAGAGAGATAGAGAGATAGAGAGATAGAGAGATAGAGAGATAGAGAGATAGAGAGATAGAGAGATAGAGAGATAGAGAGATAGAGAGATAGAGAGATAGAGAGAGAGTGTGCGTGTCCGTGTGCGTGTGCGTGTGCGTGTGCGTGTGCGTGTGCGTGTGCGTGTGCGTGTGCGTGTGCGTGTGTGCGTGTGTGCGTGTGTGCGTGTGTGCGTGTGTGCGTGTTTGTATGTGTGTAAAGGGCGGTGCAGGTGCGATAGTGGTGGCAGGTGGTCTAACCTGCTGACGGCGTTGGCTGCCGGCGCCTCCAGTACGACCTAGATGCCGGGAAGTGGGACCCATCCTCCGCTGCTCCCCTGGCCCTGCACCGCCCGGCCTCGCCTTCGTCTTGGCCTTCGCTTTCCGTTGTCTTGGCCTTTACGGACCGATCGGAATGGCGATGGCGGCGGTACTCCTGCTGCTACTGTTGCGGCTGCTGCTGTGGTGACGACGGCGCAGGAAGCCTCCGAGGCGACGGTGAAATGTGTCCTTCCACTTCGCCTGCCGCGAAAGGTCCACACGCTCTCCTTGTCAACGGAGCGGCGCCGGGCTGAACGTGACGCTAAAATGTCGTGACACTCGGAGGAGCTCCGAGATACAAAATAATGTAGGTATGAGAGCGAAAATGGACGCTGGCTCCAGGATTCATTTGTTCGACTCCTTATGAAGGCAAGTGTTAAACGCAGCGGGGAATCAGGGATAAGTGTCCCGGGGTTCTGCCAGCTGCGCCAATGTATTTGCCAAACGGATGGCAGAACGAGTCGGACCGTCGGGCAGGTCGGGCGCGTAAAGTAACAGATTAGCCATATTTAAAATGAAGTATGTGGAGATGTTGCAATGGATGTTTAGATCTTTGTAGCCACCATGCATTCGCGTCGGCGCGGACAAGAAGCAAGGCGTCGCGTGAGGCGGTCTCGGTAGTGGGCAATATCTCGGTTCGACGCAAAGTTTGCGCAGTTACGAGCGGCAAGGTAATAACAGGAACAGTATACAAATATTACGGGAAGATGCATGCTCTATTGTGTTGTCGCCGTGTGGTTTCCTTGCAGCTCGCAGCAATGCCCTGAAGGTCGCAGGGCCATCCTAAATCCACGTTCCAGCTTAGCTTTAAGCATCATGCATAGTAATATGCATAAAACACGCCATTAACTTATGGCTTTCAGGCCTTTTTAGCTCGACGGGTGGGCGATTCACAACTTGCTCGCCACGTGGCCAAAGGCTGTTAATGTGGACACTTACGTTTTCCAAAACAATTCATAGTGGGGCAACTGACAGCAGTCTCTTCATTACCTGTTCCTGTTTTGGGTCGACGCAGCCTCGCGCGCCGAGCCGTCGTGCAAAAGAAGTCCTCGTGAGAACAAAAGCAAGTAGGTCTTGATTAAACCGACTCAAAACGACCAGCAGATTATGGAGAATCCCTAGATGTACGCATTTGGCGGTTAAACTTGCCCACGCGTATGTTATTCGTAATACTCGTAACAACGTCGTGGCGGACCTCTTTGGTAGGTCAAGCGATCAAGCGACACATATCAACATATGTATAAAAGCTAGCGATGTAAGATGCCTCTTTTACTGGAGGGACGTATACGCAAGTAACCCAAGGCACGACAGGATAGTTTTGTTTCCATAGAATTTAAGGATGCGTACAGTGATGCATGAAATAGATTATATCTCTTTTTCATCCTTTGCTGCTTGGCAACTCGCAAATAGCAGACTTCGGAGAACGATGCGCTGGCGGGCGACACCCGCCGGACCGCGGCATACTCCAAATGCCAGCTCCTTTGTCTACCGGAACGATATCCACCGACATGATGTGGTGCACAAAGGGCCCATTTAGCCAGCAGTACACTTGAGCCCTTGAGACACAGCCAAAGCAAGAGCTGCGCTGTTGTCGGACCCATTGCAGTACAAATGCCTTTCTCAAGCCGATCATAAATAACCCAACACCAACCGCTACAACCACTAACCATCATGTCCAAATCAGGCTCTCGCCTCCAGGTCCACCAGCATCACTTTACTTCTCAACCCGCCTCTGAAATATCGTCCAGAAATCTCTCGAAGGTCGGTGTTGAGCATGTTGAGCAACGGCAAAATTGAATGGGAAGGAAGGAACGAAGTTGAACCCGTTCACAATTCCAATGACGCAAAATGTATACCTGTTTAGCAATTTCAAGTCGGGAGGCCCGACTTCTTAAAAAGTCCAAGCCCCTCCTTAGGAACTCTTTAAACCTCTTTCCTCCGCCACCTCGCCGCAACCTCAACCCTCATTGCTGCACCTTACTCCGGACTGCTGCACCCCCCTCCTCCAAACCCGCATTACCCGCCGCCCACGCCTCCGCCTGTCGTACCCAATTGCTGTTAACCTCTTCACCTCCGACACCCCTCCACCCCACACCCCATGACGGCGACGATGGCGAAGACGAAAAAGAGGGCACAGGAGGAGATGAAGAAGAGGATGAAAAAGAAGAAGAAGACGGCGACACGGCACCTGGGAAGGGGCTGTGTACGGCGGCCCCCTGGATGACGTCACCAGCCGCCGTCGTCGTACCGGGTAGTTGTTGATCCGGCCCTGCCACATCTTGCTCTCGCTCCCGACGGGCGGCAGCGGCCTGGTCGCACACACACACACGGGTGGGGTGTGTATTCGAAGGGGGTGGGGGCGGAAAAGGGGAATTCAAAGGGGAAAGGGGATGGCCCCGGGGTTCAGGCTTTGGGCGTTTCGAGGGGTTAAAAAAGAAACTGCTCCATAAAAGGCAAACAATTCCGGAAGTTACGATGGACGAATCTCACGTTTTGCATAGGCTTGAAAGTACGGAAATGCTGTACGAGGGGTTGTTGTACCAGCGCTGGTAAGGAGCGGGGCAACCCAGTAACCCAAATGGTACGACAGCATTATCGTAATAGCGAGCATCCACATACATACATACATACATACATACATACATACATACATACATACATACATACATACATACATACAAATGTCAGGCGGCTGGCAGAGGTTAAGGCCTGACTTCTGCTCCCGGCCGACCCGGGTTCAAATCCGCCTGCCGGCTCCTCGGGTGTTTGAGGAATGTTGAATTGGGAAGTGGCCCCCCATCATATGGACGATGTAGGACGTGATAAATTCAACTTGCGAGCTGACCAGGAACTGAGTTGATGCGCCGTTGATCCGCTAGATTTGGTTGGATGCTGGTGGTGAGTTGCCGAACCCAACGAATACATTCTGAAGTCGGATGGGGTGAACGGATGAGAAGGGTGCCCCTCTAGCAGGGGAGAGCAGGGACTGCCCGGGAAAGGGGGCCGCTGGCGAAGCTATATCAACCTGTAACAACATACATACATACACACACACTTACCCGCAGCTCAGCCTCCCTCCGCTCCCTGCGGACCAAATCCGGAGGCAGCTCTAAAGCGAATCTGCCCAGAGCACCCGATCGATAGTCCGTCAGCAGCCGTACACCCGCACGCTCTACGTCACCGCCGTACTGCCGTACAGCCAGCGCCACCACGAAGTCCTCTGCGCTGCCCACCGTCTACCGTCGTTTCGTCGCCCCGGGGGGGTTGGGTTGGGGGGAAGGGTTTTATCATGTCGTTCAGGAAACACGTCCAGGGACGCGGGGTTTGACTGTTGAGGCTTGAGGGATTAGGAATTGTTTGATTTCTAGTTTTTATTTGGGGTTGGCGGAACTTGTAACGACATCTTTTTGGGGTCGGTGCGTGTATATGTGTGTGTACGTAAGTGTAGTTGTCCCCTTCGGTTCCCCTTTAGGGGATGACAACTTATGTGTGTGTACGTGTGTGTCAGTGCGTACAGAACGAATACTTATCGCCCCTAACGGCCCCACGCTCTAAAAACCCCCAAACCCCCCCGCCCCCCCCCCCA